CCGAGAACCTCATTAGCAACACACCATTGTCACACTTCCAGCTCTTTGCTGAACGTCCAATTCCACCTGTATCAACTCCAAACTGAATTCCTACAATCAGACAATATTTCAGCTGCCAGGCCTGTTCCCGGGCCCCTCCGCCCCCAGGCTGTCCTCTTGTCTCATCTTGGTCTCCTCCAGCTTACCTTCTCTTGGAAATCCTGACTCATCCGCTCCCTTCTTCAATCAGTAGCACAATCTCTTGTCTGCCTTTTCCCTTTAAAGCCAGGCTGTAATTTTGTAAGTATGTGTTTTTGTGGATTACGTTTGAGTCTGTCCTGTCACCCCTATGGAACTGTGGTGCCCTAAAGACAGTTGATTATGTCTGTCCTGTCCTGTCACCCCTATGGAACTGTGGATGCCCTAAGGACAGGGATGGAGTCAACAGCACCTGACCACCTCGAAACTTCTCCAAGGACCCAGTAATCACCATGGCACCTGTGACCTCAGAAAGCCCTACTGCCTGACACAATATGCACAGGCACACACAGAGGTCACCCACTCCTCTAAGGGGTGAAGCTGCTGATCTGAAGGACCAAGCCCCCCAACATAAATACTTTTAAGGGGTCTTTATTAGCCTGGCCCTGGCCTGCTTTTCCAGCCTCATCTCCTGCCACTCCCCCATGAAGCAGTCTTTGTCCCAGAGACAGCCACAAAGGATTACTCACCACAAACTCTCATGACTCTGTGCCTTTGTTCAAGCTTCCCCTTGGCCTTGCCTGCCCCACCCCCCCCCCCACCCCCCTACCTGAACCACTCTTACTCATCTTTCCAGTATCAACTCAGCCTTCAGGGTCTCTGTGAAACCTCCCCCCTGGACGGTCACTCTTCTCCTCTGTGTTGTATATAATTTTACGTATCCTCCATCTTCAGTGCATTCTAGCATGAGGGCTCCCAGATTGGGAATTTGTCTCCCTCTGAAACCAAAGCTTGCAAAAGCAGAAGACCCCAACAAACAGGAGCTCAGCCATCTGCAGAAGTAACTCATCTCAGAAGGTGGTTCATGAGTGATGGTAGGGAGGCTGGAGAAAGGCTGTGGTGGTTAAGGCGCGTCCTCAGTCCTGAGATGTAACTAATGACAGCTGTTCATAAAAACAACAAGAGTAACTAATACCCAGTGCATGCTTCCCAAATGCCACACATTGTTTTAAGCACCCTGTCTACATTATGTGCTGTAATCTTGAGAGCAACCCTACGAGAGAGGATCAATTATTGGTTCCATTGTACAGCTGAGAAAACTGAAGCTCAGAGAAGTTAAGTTGCTTGCCCAAGGTCACACAGCTAAGTAAAGGAAAGAGGCAGGACCCAACCTCAGACAACCGGGTTCTAAAAGCCCAAACTTTTAACCCCCAAGCTGCACTGCCTCTCATACCCTGCCATAATCACGTGTCCTGTGTCCTGCTATGACAGCAGAAGGGTGATGGCCTGCAAAAAGGTTGAAGAGAAAGGAGTTGGACCATAAGAATCTGCTGGCTTTTGTCTCGTGCTATCCAAGGCCAAAGACCCTGTGTCTGGCACATGGGAGTCTCTGGAGTAGTTAGATTTCCTGGGACCAAGAAATTTGGGTCAGTCTCCCTGGAGACCATCCAGTGCTAACCTGTCCTTCCTTCTGTCCCTCATCTTACATCTGTAGAAGCCCTGCTGGGTTTTCCACACTGCACTTGGTCCTGGAGATGCAATGGTCCTGGGCAGGCCAAGCGGGGAAACAACAAACCTACAGCTCAACATGGTAAGTGCCATCTGTAAAAGAGAGTCTGTGGGGGCTCAGAGGAGGAAGATGGTGACCAACCCTGCAAGACAGCGTCAAGGCCCAGGAAGGCTGCTGGGAGAACATGATGCTTCAGCTGAACATTAGAGGAATAGGTACCCACATTTTCTTGCGGCATATTTAGGGTTTCACTTTTCACACTAAAATCTTTTTAATGCACTGGGAATTTATTTTGCTGTAAGATGTGAGGCTGAAATCTAACTTAATTTACTTTTTCAAAGGGTAAGCTAGTTGCAAATGGTTTTCAAACAATCCATCTTTCCTTACTTGCAATGCTATCGCTATCATATGCTAAACTGGTATATGATTGATTTATTTCTTTACTTTTTATTCTGTTCCATTGATCTAGGGAGGGCAGTGCTATATTGTAGGGGCAAAGTTTGCAGGCTCTGAGGTCAGATTAGCTGGGGTGTGCCTCAGTTTCCTCATTTGTGAAATGGAGATAATAATAGTACCTACTCCATATGGTGGCTGTGAAGACTGAATGAGATAATGCACATAAAGTCCCCAGTACAGTGCTGGCACAGAGTAATCGACCAATGACTGTCCGCTGCTATGATGATCCCTATCTGCCCATTCCTGCACTAGTAACCCGGGAGGGTGAAATTACCAAGCACAGAGCTTTGAGTCGGCTGAGATAGCTCTGCTACTTACTACCTGCATGACCTTGGGGAAGGCGCTTACCTTTTACCACCTCTCTGTTTTGGTTTCCTCCTTCATATATGGGGATATAAAAACACCTACTAAAGCCTGTTGTGAAAATTAAACATGACAATGTCGCACAGGGCACGACACATAGCCCCTCGGTGAATGTTTATTCTTCTGCTGCTGATTATTATTATAACATTATAATTTATTATCAGTCTTTATGCGTTGCAGGGCAAGCCCTTTCTCATTATCTTTCCCCCTCAACTTTTCTGGGGAGTGGCAATCTTTCAGGGCCAGGTCTAGTGTGGGTGAATAGAATTTCTGGATCTGCAAAGCTGATGCGTAGCCCCTGAACTGTGCTGAAAGTCATCACGACCAGTGAGGTGTTGAATGAGCAACCAGAGGGACTCTGGGGGGAAATGGGGAAGGGAGCAGGGGTGGGGCTTTGAAATTCACATAGCAAGTTTTTTTTTTTTTAAAGATTTTATTTTTTTCCTTTTTCTCCCCAAAGCCCCCCACTACATAGTTGTATATTCTTCATTGTGGGTCCTTCTAGTTGTGGCATGTGGGACGCTGCCTCAGCGTGGTGTGATGAGCAGTGCCATGTCCGTGCCCAGGATTCGAACCAACGAAACACTGGGCCACCTGCAGCGGAGCGCACGAACTTAACCACTCGGTCACGGGGCCAGCCCCTACACAGCAAGTTTTTAAAAATGTTTTACTTTGTCTCAATTTTTACTTTAACAAAGGAATTTGCATAGTTTAAAAAGTCAACTACTTCTACAAGGCATTTAATGCAAACAGTCCCCTGCTCCACTTCTCCCAGCCTTACGTGCTCCTCCATAAACCACGCTCAAGTTTCTCAGCTGCTTCTTTTGGTAATTACTTCTACATTTCTAAATAACATGCTCATATTATTATTTCTTGATTCTATTTTAGATATAGCCAATTGACGGCTTGTCATGGAAGATGAGGACATAGTTCTCTTTAATCCTGATTCTCCTACTCTACTCCCCTCCCCCACCCTCTCAATTCAAATATATTCCAATTTTCAGTTAAATCAACACTCAGTGTTTACATTATTATGGCTGTGAAAATATTCTTCACAGCTGAGTTATGTAATGTTTGTACTAAAACTCTGTGAATCTGTGAAACCTGCTTTTGTTAATTAACATCAAAGATATGGGGCTGAGAAACTTCATTCTCTAAAATCATAGTGTCACATAAAAACCAGACTGTTGGTGTTGAACGCAATGCAATCTATACAAAAACTGAAATATAATAATGTATGCCTGAAATTCACACAATGTTAAAAGCCAATATGACCTCAATAAAAATAAAATAAAATAAAAAATAATACAGTCACAAACTTTGCTACTTGAAATCAATCAGTGAGCATGAACATTCCACTCTGGCCTGGAGGTCTGAGCCAAGTGGATTACTTTGACGAGAAGAAGCCTCGATTTCCAACCTAGGTGCAAAACTTCAGATAATGGGGTTTTGAACACAACATTCTACATTTATCTTAATTATATATTTATCTAATACATAATTATCTAAAATTAATTATTTTAATTTTGTAGTTTTCAGTGGACCCTCAGTCCAATTCTCAGCCCAGGCTTGCTGTTGACTCCTTGCCTTAGAACCATGCTTACCTGGAACCTATCAAAACACTGTGTCATTTAAATATTACCTAAACTCAACCTTTTCCCATAGCTCGTAACGACCCTGTTTGTTCCTTTGATGAATCACCCCACAGTTCCTCTGGTGTCCCCACAGAGTCCCACAGCTCTCTCTTGCAGCAGCAAGTTATTAAACCTAACTCTGTCCAACTTCAGTTATTTTCCTGGTGGTCTTTATCAGACGGGCTTTTATCAGTTCTCTTTCTTTTATAATTGTTTTCCCTCCAGTTGATAATTGCCTGACCTTTTCTTTTACTTGTTTTCTATATACCTATCATGAATTCATCCCAAAACTCTTTGAAAGATGTATACACCTTCTCTCACTACCTTAAACACATCAGTAATTCCTCTGTCCCCACACTTTTTTTCTTACAGACACTTTGAGCCCTGGAGCCCTTCTTCCTCGAGCTCCAAGTTGTACTGGCTGCTGCCCTGCGTTTCTTTTTAAAAATATGACAACCTCTGTTCTCACACCTATCTCAAGCCATCGTAGTTATTTATCAATGCATCTGCTTTCCTGACTCCTGCTTTCCCCCTCCACCCCAGGAGAGGCCGAGTGTCTTGACATCTCTATTTCTCCAAAGTCTACCAGGGCACTCAAGAAACATTCGAGTGAACGGATGAATAAAAGAATAAATAAGTGAACCAATGAGTGGGATTTCTGTGCCGGACAAATGAGTTTAAGGGGAACGATATTACATTCGCACCTTGTTGCAAGGTTTAAGGGTGTGCTCAGGCTTTCTACACGCCCCACGCCAGCTTGGAACGAGGTCTTGAGGGAGAAAAGCAGCACCGAAGCCCCTAAGGACCCACGCCGCGGTTTGCGAAGCAGAGCCCACCGAAGACAGCCTAGGTAAAGACAGCGTCCGCGAGTCCTCTAGGCGCCGCCAAGAGGACTACGACTCCCAGCAGGCCCTGCGGAGGCGGAGCACGAGCCGTAGGGGACTTCCGGACCCTGACGTTGGCGCCGCGCAGGGAAGGAGAGACGCGCGGCAAACAGGTAAATGTAGGTTGAGGGCAGAAGGGAGAGGGCGGAGAGGGCGCGGGAATGGCGAGTGCGATGGCAGAATGACGCTGAGGCTAGGTGACATGGGGGGTGGGGAGGGAGGAGGACAGGGAATGGGTCTCCAATGAAGCGGGGGTAGCTGGGTGGAAGGAACCTCGAGCTCTGCTTTCTCTTCCCGCAGTGACCATGACGAAATTAGCACAGTGGCTTTGGGCACTGGCGCTCCTGGGCTCCGCCTGGGCAGCCTTGACCATGGGAGCCCTGGGCCTGGAGCTGCCCTCGTCATGCCAGGAGGTCCTTTGGCCACTGCCCGCCTACTTGCTGGTGTCCGCCGGCTGCTACGCCCTGGGCACTGTGGGCTATCGTGTGGCCACTTTTCACGACTGTGAGGACGCCGCCCGCGAGCTGCAGAGCCAGATCCAGGAGGCCCGAGCTGACTTGGCCCGCAGGGGGATGCGCTTCTGACACCTAACCCCATTCTCGCCGGGACAGCCTGCTCTCCCATCCCCCATTAAAGAGCAAGTTTATTTTCTAACTTTGTTTGGTTTGAGTATGGAATGGGAATTGGGGATTCTGTGTACCAGCTGTCGCGAGGTGAGAGGTAGGGGAGCCACCTTCCTGAGGCTCTCAGCCTTTGTCTGCAATCTGCTGGTGGTCCTCCTTTTTGCTCCAAAGGAGGCTAAGATCCCTTCTCAAGATCGCTCAGGATGGAAATGTTATTTCACTCTCCTGGTCCTTTTAACCCTGTCGGGAAGTACTTCTTGAAGCCCAACTTCCATTCTTCTTCGTAACATCCAAGCTCTGTTCTTCTTAAGGCCTTCTAGATCTTTCCAACTTCTTGGTTCTTTCAGATACTTTTCTGAGCCAACCCTACCAGCCCCAGAGGAACTGTGGATCAGGCAGTGCACCTGTACCCTTCACCAAACCAGGCAGGTTGAGAAGCACTGAACAGAGAACGAGCCTTAATGGGCACAGGTAGGGAACAGTTTATTTTAAGGCACATTCTAAAGGTTCCACCCCAACCTTCAAATTAAAAAATATAATCTTGAAAAAATAAAAGTGATTCATCTCTCAAGTCCCACCCATATCTCCTAAGTAAAGCTCTTTCTTTGGTCCCTCGATTCTCAAAGTGTCTCTTTCTTTCCCAAAACCCACTGCACCCATGGAGCTGGTCAGCAGGAACAGCTGAAACAAGGAGTTCTCTTTGGTGACAGGTTGGCATTAAAGTGCCCAGTGGTCAGGTGAACTGCTTCAGGTTTGTAGGAGCTGAGAGTTCCTAGCTGGCTTCTGGGAATACTTCCAGAAAAGCCAGAGGCGAATGAAGCTGGTGACGATTCCTGGAAAGTTGGGCACCTGAAATCACAAGGGCTGCTATGAGGAGAGGAGCTGGTTTTCCACTTTGCACACCTGTCAGCCCATCCCTGTTCTGCTTACCGTGATGTAGGGATCTTTGAGTCGAAACCCGTAGAGGGTCCAGGAGGCAGAGGCGAGGAGGGTGGCAATGGTGAGTGAGAAGGAGAAATGTTGGGCTGATTTAGTCTGAATGACCTTGGCCTGTGGGAAAGGATGAAAGACACTCCCAGCCCAGACATGTAGTAAAGCTCCTACATTGCCTACTAATTTCCTCAGAAAAAAGTTTCTCCCCTGATCTTCTGCTACCTGATCCTTCCCTCCTGCCTCCCACTCACCCATCTCTGCTGCCCTGTCTCCTTCCAGGATTTGGCTCTTCCCTTCCTCTGGAGTGTAAGCTACAGTCTCTGACTATGGGAGCCTGACCTTTCTTATCTCCCCCACCTCCCTGGATACCCTCACTCACCAAGTCAGCCAGTGGTGAGAGATACATACTGATGGTGAAGACACTGCAGAAGAGGCCCAGCCACTGAAGCCTGGCCTCAAGGTCAGGCACCAGGAGCCAAAAGTAGCCAAAACCCAGAAGAAGGACCCCCAGCAGGGCTGCAGTCTGTAGGAGCACGCCACGCTGCAGGGGAGAGAACAGCCTTAGCCCTGGATGTGCCAGGAGCCCTCTCTGACTCCCCTGCTGGAATTAACTCATCCTGCCCTCTCCCACGCTCCAGTGGGGGAGCCAATCTTCGTCTAAGCCTCCAGTATTGCACTTGTCACACTCTCTTTCCCACCAGTGACTTGATCGTGTGTTTGATCAATCCACAACACTGGAGGTTTCTAGGGAAGGAAGCTTGGTACACACAGTAGGAGCTTAAATAAATGCTTGTGTGATTGAATGGAGAAGCAGAGCTAATCATCTCATTCTCAGCCACCGACCCTGGCTCTGAAGGAACTATCCGAGACAAAAGCCTTTTTCCCCTCAGCTTCTTGGGCAGTGAGGCACCATCAGGCTTGGCAGGGCTACCAGCTTCGCCAGAATGGGGGGCGATGTGTGAGTCTCAGAAGGCTGGCTTCATGGAGGAAGGAGGACTGCAAGGCTGGAGGGGCCTTCCAGGAAAAGGTGGCAGTGCCAGCCTGTTACAGTCTTCTAGGAAGCAGTGTCTGCGCTGCCAGCAGTGCAGGACGTGCAGCAAAGTGGGCCCAAGGGAGGGTCTCTACCTTCCGAGGGCAGTAGTGCAGATACACCAAGATATACAGGGTCTGAAGCATAGCACCCACGGAGTTCACGATGATTAGGGTCCCGTCTCCTTTCAAGGCCCCATAACTCAGCCAGCTCAGGTTGCTGCAGGGTGGAGGGGAGAGATATTCGCCCGCGGGATTGAATGTGGGAGGGGGACCCAAGGCGCCTCTTCCACGTTCCGCATCCCTCCCCCACCCCCCGCAGATAGTCTTTCCCGCCGCAGCAGTAGCCCCTCTCACTTGATATCCGTGGTGAGAAAGGGCAGGAACTGGACATTGTCCACGCTCCGGGTCATCCGCATGTGCCTAAGGTCCGAGCTGTAACGGGCCCCCGAAGCCAGGGGTGAGAGGTGGGAGGGGAAAGCCAGGCTGCTGGGGAGTCGAGACCCCCGATGCCTGTCATCCTCCCCAGGCAACTGCAGACCCCCAGCCCCGCCCTCAGCTCCCTTGCCTTCTCCCTCAGGTCAAGTGACCAGCCTCGCCCTTGTGCCCGGGCCCCTCGACCCGATTCCACTTTGACTCCAGGTTCGGGACGCAGCCTGGGGCTGTGGCCACGTCTCTGTTCCCTCTCTCTCCTTTCCCGACTTCCTGGTCCTGCCCCAGCCCAGCCCAGCCGCGCTCTCACAGGCCGCTGGAGAACATGCCGAGGGTGAAGAGCACGCAAGCTCCGGAAAGGAGCGAGTCGGCCACGCCGCCGGCCTCCATGCCTCCAGGGGTCGGATCCAGCGCTCAGCGACAGGCGCAAGGTAGCTCGGCTGGGAGCCCGCGGGCGCCGGAGCCCCGCCCCTCCGCGTCCCTGGCTCCGCCCCCGCGCGCTCGGCCATCCCCCCGGAAACTGAACCGGAACCCGGCCCACCCCCAGAACTCCGAGCCGGGACGCAGGCCCCGCCCCTCCGAGCGCCGGTCCCGGCCCCTGCCGGCCGCAGGATTCCTGCTCCTGACGTTGCACTCCAGATCCCTGCCGGTCCCTTTCCGAAGGCTTCGCGGGTTTGTCCCCGGCACCCGCCGCTGCTCACTCTGCTTACCCCTTGGATGACCTAGACCCCCAGCCTCAACAATTTCCCGCAGGCCCGTGAGCCTACGTGGTACACCTCAAAACAAAAGCTTGCTAGACGCGACCAGACTTCAACACGCTTCCCATCCAGAGCTCCAGATCAGAACCTCAGTTAACCAAGATTTGGGAGGTTTTTCCCAGTTTGCTGAAGCCTCTTCCCAGTCTCTCCCATAAATAACAGGGATTGCCAGGAATCACCAAGGCTATCAGGTGCCCTCCCCCTTCAGCCACACTGCCAACTTTCCGTGACTTGGCCAGTCCACTGAAGCGCAAGGCTGACCCCGACGTCCAACCGACTTGCTGCTGGGAACTTTCCCTCCCAGCCTCCCACACGTCTCGGTGGGGCCGTGGGCGGGGCCGCATGCTTCAGCTGGCGCTCCCCTGAGCGACTGCCTGACTCACCCAACAGCATGAGTACCTGAACCGTGTGCCAAAGCCCAGCGTTGAGGGAGTGGGAGTGGGGCAGAGGTTGGACAGGAAGAACTTCCAGAGTGGGGTGCAGCCTAGAACCCGAGAGACTGCCATCCTCCTGTCCTGGATAACCCTCAGAGGAGGAAACATCCCATCCGTTGGGGCTGGCAAGGGGTATGTATGCTTTCCAGAGAGGGGAAAAAAATTCAAACCCAGTTGCTACTGGTGTCGCACAGAGCCTAGCACATAGCACGGACTCCATGGTCCTAAATTAGGATGGAGGGGCAGAAAAGCATATCCAAAAAAACCAAACACATTGCTTTATTTTGAGACAAAGAACATTGTATAAAAAAAATCCAATTATAGAAATCGGAACAGACACACAGAAAGTTTATATACAGATCCTGTACATGTGGGCCCTGCCCTCCAGGCTACACTCTAGGCACAGACTCTGTGCACATGGGCACTGCCCTTTCAGCTACACTGTAAGCTGGCACAGCCCCCCTGCTGGCACAGCTCTGGGGAGTGCTGCCCCAGGATGGGAGAGGATGCAGTGCTTGGCTACAAACCTCTCCACGGCAGCTCCACAGACCGGAGTCTCGGGGGAGATGCCGGGTCAGCCCAAGCATGCTGCCCCTCCTGTCCCTGGCTCCCGAGCAGGAACTGCCTCTTGCTTTTCCTTCAGTCAGTTCATCTGGGCATCTTGGTTCTCTCTGGGAGGGGTGACTTTGCCAGTTCAGTGTCCATCCGCATGACCCCAGGCCCCTTCCAGCTCAGCTCCCACAGTGCCCTTCTTAAGAGGCCGTGTCTGCACAGCTTGTTTCTTTGGCTTAAGAGCAGAAATGGTGGGAAAAGGACTGTCCCCACTTCTCTGTCCATCCCTCTGAGGTGGAGGTGTGGATGGCACTGCCAGGCTTGCCGACTTCCTTTGGATGGAAACCGTTAATACTGACCCGTTTTGAGGCTGCTGGGTGGCAGCTTGTGCATGTGGCGGGAGTGGTTCCCAAGACTGTGGCTTTGGGAGGGGCCCCAGGACAGGTGCTGGGTGCCTGCCCCTGCCTCCTCAGCCCAGTTCCAATCTTTAGGCCAGATGTGGTTTACACCGTCACGGGGTTTGCAGCAGCAGGAATGGCAGGAGCAGCACAACCCAGGCAAGTGGGAAGAGGCGGGGGGCGGCACTGTGACCAATGCTATGTAGAACCTGCACCTCCGAGTCATCTGCAAGATGAGAGGGCAAAGGCCCCCAAGGTGAGTGGCCCCACTACTGGCACTGGCCCTCAGCCCAACAAGGTTTCTCCAGCCCCTGCCTGGCAAGGAGCCACCTATTGTACCCAACCTCCTCAAGCAGATCCCCTTTTGTGCCCGAGGCCCAGATTGCTCCAGGTACCTACCTGCTGGAAGTCTCTTCTCCTGGGGATTGGCATGGGCCTGAGGACTGTGAGCTGAAAGACAAGGGTGGCCGTCCATCAGGTACTGTACCAGGGAGGCAGAAGGGTGCAAGTGCTGGGTGCTAGGTGGGCTGGGCAGTGGGATTTCTCTACCATCCCAGATCACTAGCCCAGGCCCAGCTTAGAGGTGGAGGAGGGAGCCCACAGGGTCCTGACACTCACTGATTTTGCCGTCGACAGTCACCTTCAACCTCAAGCACCGGTCTTCTTGGTGGTGGATGGGTTTTGCTGCAAGAAGATAAACCCACAGGGCGTTAAGGAAGGAACCTTTGCCGGAAGAAAATAGTGCAAATGCCTCTGGTTCTGCTTTCTCGGTCATTGCTCATTTTTTTTTTTTTTTAGATTTTATTTTTCCTTTTTCTCCCCATAGCCCCCTGGTACATAGTTGTGTATTTTTAGTTGTGGGTCCTTCTAGTTGTGGAATGTGGGATGCCGCCTCAGCGTGGCTTGATGAGCGGTGCCATGTCCTCGCCCAGGATCCGAACCAGCGAAACTCTGGCCACCAAAGTGGAGCGCTCGAACTTAACCACTCGGCCACGGGGCTGGCCCCTCGGTCCCTGCTCATTTTCATCCCTCTCTTCTAATCTTTGATTCTTACCTTCCTTACTTTTTGCTCACTTTCTGCCCCAGGTTCAGCCAAACCTCCTATTTGAAATAACCCTTGGTTTTAGAGGCGATAATAAAAAGAACATAGATGCTATCCCCTCCCCTCAGTCCATCCTTCACTCCTCCCAGCCTGAAGTTGGGTGAGGCCTTCATGATATGCTCCCCTTCTCTGGGCCATTTTATTCTCCCCCCGCCGAGGGTGAGGCCTGGATCCATTCTACACAGAGCTGATCAGCTAACTCTAAATCCACCAGGGGCCCTCCACTGCCCTCAGGATAAAGTCCAAACTCCTTAGCACTTCTTAGGCCCCCGTGATCTGCCCTGTCTACCTCTCCAAGCTCATCTCTCCCCACTTCCAGTGTCCCTCCTACTCCAGCCAGGCTGAACTGTATGGAGTTCCCTGAGGATGTCATGCTTCTTTAGCACATATCCCTTCATGCCTGACCAGCTCCTCTGTTTGTCCTAAGCTCTGGGGTCATCTTCCTTGGGAAGCCTTCTCTGTGTCCCCCTTGCCTGGCAGGTACCCAGGTCATTTTCCAGGCCCCTGCGCTCATGTCCTCCATATCACACTGTTCTATGGTGTGTTAACCTATGGGTATCTCTGGTTCCCAGCTCCCTTGAGGACTGGGAGCCTGTAATGTTTTATTTTTCTCTGCCTGTGGTGCCAAGCAGAGTGCTGGGTATATGGCAGAAGCTCACCCCACATTTGAAATGTGAATGAATGAAAATAGAATTCAGGATTGGAAGGAGCCCTCTGCTGCCTGACTGCTCACTAAGCATGTACCCAAGCGTATGCATCATGCCAGCTGCGTGCCCCAGTGTGTGCACCCGTGTGCACGCCGCCTGGCACTCACAGATGTAGTAATAGCTGTGTCCCTCTTTGAACTCCTTGCCCAGGGTAAAGGGTGTGAAGCGCTGGAACTTCTCAGATAGCTTCTCCGGGCCATGCCTGGCACTGGGCTGGTTGCACTGCCAGCGGACCTGGTCCTTGGAGAGGGGTTGGCACAGCTGGTACTGCTCACGCTCCACCAGGTACAGAGTGTATCGCTCCATGGCAGCGTCTGCCACAGAGTCATCCTCGTAATGCGGACAGATGATGTCCAGGTAGTCATTCAGCCGCACGTGTACTGTGTAGTCCTCACTCCAGAACCTGGGCATGCGGAGGAGGAAGAAGCAGGTGGTCACTCAGGAGCCAGAGCAGAGCCTTGAGCCTCCAAATGTTTACATGACCCCTCACATTTCACACTGGACCCCCATACCCCTAAGATTTTTGAAAATCTCAACTCCCAATATTTACTGATCTTGATCTCTTAAATATCTTTCCACCATCTCCAAACATTCCCTCCACCATCATTGTCTCCCATTAAGCCTCTAAATAGCATCCACTCAGTATCTTTCAGGTACCAAAGCACTTCTCAGAACCCCCCTGATATTTACCCAAGGATGGGCTTCTAAATATTTCCTTAGCTCCCTCATTATTCTCCTCTACCCATAAATATTTCCCCAAGTCTTTTCTACCAGTTGCTCCTTTAAATGCTATTAGACCTCAGTCGGAGACCCTTCTGGCCCACCCTATAAGCAGGATCAGGGAGCCCTTTCTCTTTACCATGCTAGCACTTAGCTCCCAACACACCTGTGGCTTCACTTCTCTTACTCTCATTTTTTCCCCCTGACCCACTGAGTGTATCTCACATTTCTCAGCTTCATTTTTCCCCCGAAGCCACCAGTACACCCAGGCCAGCAGATAGTGCCCAAGTCCTTTAAGTTAAATCACTTTCATCAATTCATTCAGTTGCCTCAAATCTCCCCTTCTAGCTACTCAAATTTATGCTCATGTCTCCTTGTCCACTTCTCTCAAAGCACCCCAAAACATCCCTGTCCCTTTATGTCCAAAAGCCACCTCCCTTGAGAGGAGCTCCAGAAACGCTGGCGTTCTCAGATCTGAGACTGCTCTCCCCTCACCGCCTCCCAAGGTGGAGCCAGCTCCCCTCCCCCAGCCCATTCCCCCCAGGCTCCACAGGCTCCAGCCTGACTGCCCAACCACCCCTCCCCCCTAGCTCCAGACACCTGGCTCCAGTCTGGGTGGGGTCCTACTAGGGGGAAAAGTGCCTCCCCACCTCCCTCTCCAAGCTGGTCAGCCTCTCTGAATTCCCCCAAGTACTGCCAGCTAGACACTCAGCAGAGTTGGCTGCCAACTTGCTTCCAAGCGAAGCCCTGGGCATGGGTGGGGGCGGAGGAGCAGGAGTTGGCCAAGGGGCCTCTGAGGTGGGCACCCACTGCCCAGTCAGCACGACCCCTAAGAGGCCTGGCCTTGCAGCAGCATGCCACTGCTCAAGCTAGGCTTACCAGGGCCCCTCCCCCACCCTGGGGAAAACAGTGAGTGAGTGAGAGAGAGAGAAGCAGAGAGAGGCTTTTAAAATTCCTCTCTGGAGAGATAAACATAGAAGCCATTTCAGAACAGGTATTTCAGCTCTGGGCCTGGCGTCTTTCCCCCATTCCCGTGACGGGCACTGACTCATTCCTCATCCACCTCTGCCACCCGCCCCAGCATTCATGAGAACCTGTGAAAATTTACCTTGTCAAATGTGGACAGCCCCCAGGACCCCAGGATGGCACAGCGCCCACTTGCCCTGGGCACTGTCCTCCAGGCAAAGGGAGCTGGCAGGTCTGAATGGGCGGGGCACCTGCCCCTCCAGCACCAAGGAGGCCTGGGCCTGGCTCGCAGTCACACTGCCCTTCTCCCCACGCTGCCCCCTGCCTGGGGCCTGGAGATCCCAGGGAGGATGCCCACTGCCCTGAGTCACCCTTGCCAGCCTCACACCCGCCCAGCTCCTTGCCACCTCATCTTTGTCCCCAAGCTGGGTCCCCCTTGGCCGCCTGTGGTCTCCACTCTGGCCTGGCTTCTCTCTGGTCCTGGGTATGGTAGAGTGTGTGTGGATATGGCCAGATGGCCAAAGCTGTGCTTGGTGGGGGGCACCCATCACCCTCCTCCTGGGGTACAGTCTGCTCCACTTAGCACTCCTTTGACTCTTGCTCCCCATCTGGGAAAGGGGGGCAGCGGCGTCAGGGAAGGCGGGGAGGGGGGGCAAGGAAGAGGCTCCTTCCTGAAAGAGAGGAAACCTGGGAGCTTGGGAACGGAAAAGGCCAGGGTCCCCCCCTCCCTACTCATGGCTTCCTGTCCCCTCCTCCTCCTTCAGCCAACACCTGGCATGGGCATAAACAGGGACTTTGCTCTCTCCCACTAGGACAAGATTGGGTCAAGGAAGCAAAGAACAGGCAGCAAGGAGTGGGATGGGGGAGGGCTGGCTGAACTGCCCCTGGGCTGATGGGCAAAAGGGCATTGCCCTCTGGGGTTGGCAGCTAGTTGTTCCCTCCCACCCAACACGCCACAGACGACAGACCTCCCACCAAGCAATGCCGCCACAGGGTCAGAGGAAGCTGGCACAATATATTTCTCAAGGGGAGTCGGGGGTAGACGTGCGCCTAGGGCTGGGGTAGCTGAACTGAGTGGAGTGTTTTCCTGCCCCGAGCTGCCCAGCCCTCCTCTCCCTGCTCCACCCTACCCCCTCTCCTGTTTTCCCGCAAATATTGTTCCCATAACTTCAGAAAACTCAAGGGCAAGAACAAAGGGTCCGACTGAGCTTCTTCCTCCCAGTACCATTTGCCTCACAGCCCTAAACCTGCCCAGGAGAAGTTAACTCCTTCCTGCCCAGAACCCTTTGTAACCCTTTTAACCCCTTCCATTCCTTCTGAACATTTCCCATGACCTCCCGCCCCCATCTCATCAGTTTTACTACTTGAACCTCATAAACAGGTGACTCCCTTGGCCTACCCACACACAGCATGTGCCTCACTCATGTCACCTCAAAAGATCCCTTGGGGGGTGCTTTCCAGGGTCACCTTAAATAAAGAATGACTGCTTAAAGCCAGCAGCCCAGGTCCCTCCTGAGGGGTCCTTCCAAGATTACAGAGAGCATTCTGCTTACTCCCGATGTCACATCAGGTAACTGTCAGGGTGGGCAGATGCCCAAGTGACACACAAGGAGAGCCACAGAGGCTTTCCTGGTGGAAAGGCCTAGAACAAGAGCCCCGGTGGCCAGGGAGCGTGGTCCACGCTGGAGGCAGGAACTGTTCAGCATGGGTCTCTCACTTCGGAGAAATAGGGGTGCCAGAGGGAAGGAAAGGAAGGGCAGAAATAGTGCCTGTACAAGCAGACAGGGGCAGGTTCCTGCCCTGGGGTGGGCTACCCCAAGGTATGGGGGAGAAACGAGAGAAAGAAAATCTACAACCCCTCCCGCCTCTGGTCACCTCCCCAAGACTCAGGTCAGGGGCTGGCCGGGACAGTTAACCCGGGGGGCGGGGGGGCAGTGCTAACCGGGCGCCCAGGCTGTCGGCCGGAGACTCGGGGCTTACTTGGGGTTTGAACTGTTCCAGAAGACGGTGTGGCGGTCAGCAGCGGCCAGACTGCAGCACAGACCCAAGAGAGGGGCCCAGAGGAACTCCATAGCGCGGGGCCTGGCCAGGCCGGGCGAGACGGGGGCTCCTGTGTCTGGGTTCCCGCTGGCTCTCTCCGCCGCGCAGTCAGCACCGCGCTCACGGCTCTGGCCCCTTAGCCTCGCGACTCCGCCTTTTGGGCCGGCGCCGCCGACACCCCGCCCCGCCCCCGCCCCGCCCCGCGCGGCGCGCGGCTGCCCCGGGGCCTGGGGGCTGGGGCGGTGGAGGAGGGGAGGGCAGCGCCGGGAGCGCCGCGCTCGCCTCTGTCCCGACAAATCGGCTCGGCGCTGCGTGTCCGTTCAGTTGTGGGTCTGCGTGCCGCTCTGTGGGCCCGTGCGGGGTGGTGGGTCTGTGTCCCCGGGCGCAGTCACGAGCGGGAGAAGGGAACGAACTCCACGTGCAGGTCTGCGAACACGCGGGTGGGGGAGCCCAGCTTCGCTGCGCCGTGCTTGGATCTTGCAGGGTGCAAGGTTGTTTGTAGACCCTGCACCTTTCCTGAACCTTGCACACCCGATTCGGGCTCCCGCGTTCTCACACTCTCCTCCTACCCCCGCTTCGTCGACTCTGCGCTCGGCTGCCCCTCCCCACACACGCGGCTGTTTGTTTTTGTTGGGTTTGTCAATGTTGTCTTTGTTCGAGAGATTGTGTCATCGCCTAGATGCCGGGAATAAATTGCGACCCTGTGTGTGATCAAGTGTGTAACGTGTGCGGCTGGGGCTAAAGGCGCCTCTTCATCAGTGCCTGTGAGAGGGAGGGACACTCGGGATCCTGGGCCTGCGGGGGGGGGGGGGGGGGGGGGGTGGCTTGCTCTTATTTCTAGTGTGCCAAAGGGCAGTAGTGACCTGTGTGTATCTGTGTGTGTGCGCCAACAAACAAGTGTACTGTGCAAACGGGCTTTGAATATGGACTGTGAGAATCTGGGCATAAAGGGTGACAAACTGTAACCACACATGTGCATCTGGCATGTGTAAATATGTGTGATGGCGCGCAAGTGTGAAAGCATTTGTGAGGAGTATCACAGCCGCGTGTGGGGAAGCGTGTGAAATTTTGACGTACGTATGCTAATGTTTGTGAACAGCGTGTGAAGAAGAGGGGAAACGCGTACAGGCGAGAAGCATATGTGGGGTGGGGGCGGGGGTGTTTGTGAGGCGTCCCCTTCGTCCCCGGCTGGGCGGCTGGGTCTGGCCCAGTTTGGGCTGGGTCTCCCAGTCAGTCAGGTCCCAGTACCCAGCTCGAGCCTCCTCCCCCGCTCCATGTAAACAAACCCGCTGGAATTCGCCTCTCGGGGCTCCCTTCCCCGCCGGGATCTGCTGCCGTCTGGAGAGGGGTTGGCGGGCGGGTGTCTGCCTCCCAGCTCTCGGGGTGGAGAGAGCGGGCAGGTGTTTGATTAGGCTCGTGTCTGTCTGGAGCGGGAGGGCTGAGTGCTGTGTGTCTGCGTGTTTGGTGGTTTATGTGTGTGATTGTGTGGCTGTTTGTATGCGCGCCTCCGGTTGGTGTTGCGAGTATGTGCGCATCCCTGACCAGCCCGTCCACGCGGCTGTGCATCTCAGGAAGCCGCAGGCCCGGTGCCCCTGGCCAGCTCCGGCCCAGCTTCCCCCGTTCCCAGGCCGTTTCATCCTACTCTTTTACGGCGAGGCCTGGCGACAGCCCCTGTAATTACGCGGGGCCGGGACGCCGCGGCTAGTCCGGCGCTCAGCCTGCCGGGGAGGAGCCTGGGGCGGGGGAGGGCCCGGGCCAGCCCCCACGCCCCATGAGGCGCAAGCTCCCGGAGGCTGGACTCCCCGCGCGTATGATAAATATTTACCGAGCACTGACTAGGTGCCAGGCCCCTTACCCCGACGGCCGGGTCAGGGCCTGGCTTTGCGCACGGTCCCCAATCCCCACCCCCTCGCGCACACCTGCCCCAGGCGACGTGCCCAGCCCCGCGTTTACCAGAGGTGCAGCCTGCCCCTCCCTCCGGGGCCGAAGTCTACCCGCCGACCAGCCCCAGGGCAGGGCCTCACGCGCGTTTTGCTCACCTGGGAGGACACCTGGGTGTCGGCCTCCCACGTGCCCCTGGCGAGATTACCCCATCCCACCTCATGTGTCTCATAGAATCGAAGCTCCACGAGGGCAGGGATTTTTTTTGTTCACCGCTGTCTTGCCAGGGCCTGGCACAGTACCTAGCATACATAGTAGATGGTCAGTAAATATTTGTTGAGTGAGTGAAATCACTGTTCGGAGAAGGTCCTTAACTTCTGCGGGACACACTGCTCTGAAAAGAAACCAGGAGAGGGGTTGGAGAGGGGAGGGGTGGTGGTGGCTCTTCAGGGAGGCTGGCCCGGGAGGAGACGGTTTAGGGCCATTCCTCTGTTTCTCTGACCGCCGGGGCTGCTGGGCGGGAACGTGTGGGGTCCCTGAACTGCGCCGCTGGGACCGGGCAGGTTCGGGCTCGCCGGGCCCAGCCCGGCGGGGCCACGTCCGTTCCCGCCCTGCCTGCGTGTAGGGCTGGAGCAAGCCGAGTGGAGAAGAGGAGGGGGGAAATTCTGGGCACGAACGGGACGCGGAGCCTCCCTTCCCCGGCTTGGCGCTGTCTCCAACATTCTCACTTCAGGTTTTGATCTCATTGCTCTTCTTCTATCCACGTTTTTGTGCGTTTGGGGGTCGTTCGTCAGACTTAATGGGGCACCCCTAGACGTCGGGCTCCGAGAGCAAGGGTGCGTTTAAGGTGAAATCCCTGCCCTTGGGGAGCAAGACCTCTAGGGGAAATAGACAAGCCACCATTTATACCACAAACTTGCAAAATGCAAAGCCCAGATTGCAGACCCACAATGCGCCCTCGCACTGCCCTGACACCCCTAGAGCCGCTGCGACGCCTGCTGGACCGAGAGGAGAGTTGCAGGCACTGCACGGTCCAGACAGAGCACAGAAGGGACTTCGGCTCCGAGACTCGACCTGCAGACCAACGCAGCCCCCACCCTGTCCCCTCCCCCATCCCAGCCCCTAGCCTGCCCAGGCGGGTCTTGTCTTGGTTCTTGCTTTGGGCTACCTCTCACCGCAAAGTTGGGCGCCTGTGTTGGCTCTCAGCACCGCCACCCTCAGGCAAACATCTGTGCTCAGTGGCGGGAGCTGTCTGAGGTGTCTGTCTGTCTGCCTGTCTGGGAAATTCCCGTTGTGAGTCCTTTCTGGGAATTCCTGAGGAACAAGATTAACCTTCTGAGTGCCCTGGGAGAGGCCTGGCCTCTGGAGGGACGTGCTGTCCACCTTTGGGGGCACTGCTCGTCTGGAGGTGCCATTTCCAGTCTGGAATGGGCGGAACTACTTGGTTGCTACTCCCTTGCTGAGCGTCCTGTGGTTTGGGGTGGGGAAGGCCAGAGCCACAGGGCCCTGGGGTGCCATCTAACCTGGCACAGCCCCTGAGGGCATCTCTGGGCAATAGGGTGAGGAGCGGAAGCAACACAGGGCCATCCTGAGCCTGGAGCAGCTTCTGCTCCACTCCCTCGATGTCATTTGAAAAATAAAGTGTTTCCCACTTTGTTAATAATGTGTGTCTATTTTTCAAAAGTTGGAAGATAGAGAACAGGAGAATAAAGGGCAGGGAGCAACCACCAGCCACTATTAACATCGTTGTCCCTTCCCTGCCAGCCTTTTGCTTGTGAGATTTTGTTTGCTTGCTTTTAGATAGTGTGATAAATATGACTCATTTCTATTGTGTACTTCTTTTTTCCCCTTTAACTTTAAGACAGAAGACATTTTCCATATTATAAACTCTTTGTAAACAATATTTTTAACCGAAGCGTAATGTTTCACTGAGTGTTTCCGACTTTGCCATTGTGGGGAGGCAGGGTAGAAATAAATAAACACATTCACACACTCACGCCCTCCTCGGCTGCTGAGCAGTTGACTGGTTCTTAGAACTTACAAATAACTCTGAGATTGACTTCCATTCAACAAGTATTTGTGACACATCCACTCTGGATGGGGTTCTGTACTGGGAACGGGGGCTTAGTAGAAGGCAATAGGGGAGGACCCTGTTCTCATGGAGCTTACAACTTAGATGAAATCTGGGGATGCGCTTTTCTAGATTTTGGAGAATTTCACAGATGTGGGAAAATGCTTTTGATATCACCAAACCAAAGTTGGATTCTTTTGGCTACCAGTCCAGTTCTCTCGCTGAGGGCCGAGGTTTCCAGAACCTAAGGGATCTGTCCCTCCCCATGCCCAACTCAAGAAGGGGCCAGCCTCCATGGGAAAGTTGGGATTCCTTACCCTCAACTGCAGGGAAGAGGAGGGTGGGCAGGATGGGGGCGTGGGAGGGAGAAAGGAGGGGCAGTGCTAGGGAGGATGGGACTGCGGTTTCGGCATAGAAAGCACCGAAAGGTGTTTTGTACTGCTGCCTCTTCCACTGAAAATTGGCTAAGCACTCCTGTCAAAAAACTGTACTGGGAGGCACTGGGGACTCTGAAATAGATCCTTGCCCTAAAGGACTCTGGTCTACTGGTAAATATATAATTAGAATGTAAGATAAGAGAGGCCGGCCCAGTGGTGCAGCGGTTAAGTGCACACATTCCGCTTCAGCGGCCCGGGGTTCCCCAGTTCGGATCCCGGGTGTGGACATGGCACCGCTTGGCAAAAGCCATGCTGTGGTAGGTGTCCCACATATAAAGTGGAGGAAGATGGCACGGATGTTAGCTTAGGGCCAGTCTTCCTCGACGAAAAGAGGAGGATTGGCAGCAGTTAGTTCAGGGCTAATCTTCCTCAAAAAAAACAAATTATAATAGAGGTATAAATGGAACAACAGGCTGTGGGCTCACAGTGGAAGGAATGTTTATTTGGTGTGAGGAGGACTTCACAGAGGAGGGGATATTTGAAATGGGTTTTGGAGGATAAGAAGGCATTCGCATTCAGGGATGAGGGAACAAAGAATTCTGGTAGAGGGGTGAGAGTTTGTGCAGTGAATACTCTGGTGTAGCTAAAATTACAGAATGGGTCTGGGGGAGTGGCAGGAGATGAAAACAGAAGGTGGTTTGGGGGCTATGTTGCCAAGGGCCTCGAACATCAGGTTCAGGATTTTGATCATTATTCTGTAGCTCAGAGATGCTCAAGTTGGAAACATAGTCAGATTTGTATTTTACTTTAT